TGGGGGGGGGGCTTTCCTTCACTACCAATGTCAGAGTTTTCGATTTTTAAACTGGTTTCTTTTTGTTAGTGTTAGTTCGTTTTGAGTCCATGACCTTTTCTAAATGTTTGCTAAACAATGCTAAAATGGAGGGCTAGAAAGTAGATCTATAGGTAAATAAAAGCATTTATTATACCATTTTGAGTTTCAGCGGAATGATAACCATGTAAAATGAAGTTTGGAACTTTATATAAAGCTTCAACATAAAACTGCTACTCTGTGGCAGCACAGCTGCACCCATATAGATGGTGTGGGAAGTCTCCGTTTCTTTGGATTCTTCTAGAACCCTAAAGAAAATTGTTTCCATAGAAACCATTAACCTCAGAGACCTCTGCTGTGCTCTTGGCAGGTGAGCCTTCATAGACTAGGTTTCCAGGTGAAACTCAAATGAAAGGAGATCCCTCCTTGTTAAGGAGAAAATGGTCATGGTGAGGAGGAGGGATCATCTGTACGAACACACAGCTGTCCAAGAAAGTTGATGTTTTTTTCTTTGGACCTACACCCACCAGTCCTGATTTGTCTCCTGGAAGCTTACAGAAACCTGGCGAGGTGTGATTCCAAATTAGGTAGAAATGAGGCTGAATAGAATGAACTTGTGAGCATAGCAGACGTAAGGCATATTTGACATAGAATCTTCTGATGTCTCCACAGAAGGTGGCTTGTCTCTGTGGTATAGAGTGTTAATGTCTTAATCACTGCCATCTCCTATAAGGAGATTGAGGGCACATCTTATGTAGGAGGTGCAGGTCCCGTGACTAGACTGATGGAGAGTGGACATTCAGAGTCAATTACAAAACAGAAAGGTGATAGAAGCACAGTTAAGATGCTGAGTCTTTGCCCACGGTGGGGGTAGGGGCTGGGGAGCTTTTGATCCCTTCCCAGAAATGTGCCTGAATCAAGTGGGCCAGAGGAACCAGAAGTTGTAAAAGCCTTCTCCTGGGAAATCTAGTAGAAGTGGCTTCCTGGATGTCACATGCAGGAAATTATAAAAAGCCATGTATTGGCATTTGGAGCTGAGGCAGGAGCCCGTGTGTAAATTCTAAGCCCTGTGACATGGGCCAGGGTGCAGAAAAGAGCAGACATCACAATCCAGTATAACCATGGTTCCTTAGCAATGGGGAGACTTGGAGGGTACAGGGAGAGAGTCAGGTCTCCTTTGTAAGCACATTACCAGAGAATTAGAGACGCCATGCTTGGTGGGAGACAGCAGTCATAAGAGAAAGTACCAGAAAAAGCAAGCTTCCATCTATAGGAAATTTTAAAACAAATGAACTAAAAAAAAATTATTAATTTTTAAGTCTAAATGATGTCTTCCATGTATATTCCCCTTTGAACTGAGAAACCCTTTGCCAGTGGTTCTTAACCTGTAGGTCTCAACCCCTTTGGAGGGAGTCAAATGACCCATGTACAGGGGTCACTTAAGAACCACTTGAAAACACATATTTAAATTATAATTCATAAGAGCAGCGGCATTACAGTTATGAAGCAGAATGAAATAATTTTATGGTTGGGGTCACCACAACATGAGGAACTGTTGCAGCTTTAGGAAGGTTGAGAACCATTGCCTTAAAGCCATTCTCCGAAGATGGGTTAATGAAATATTTGGTTCTAACAGTTTCCCATGTCCCTAAACTTAGCAGGAAATACATTTATTTGCCTGAGATGTTGAATGCTGTCTGAATTAACTGTAGCTAGATTGCATGTTCCTAAGTTAGGTATGTGTTTAATCTTAGTCAGCAGGCCAGACTGTTGGAGAAGCAATAAGTTCAGGCTGTCAGCCTCCCTTCTGAAATAAGGAAACAGTTTATAGCCATAGCTTCCAGAACACACCCAGGCTTATCTGAAATAAGGAAAAATCCACTACAACCTCACTGGAACTTACAATCCAAGGAAGTCACGAAGAGAGGAGTGTTTACCATAGAAAAAAGCATAAACTGCTGGGGGAGCTGTCCTCTAAGCCATTTCCTGACTGTTGCTTGGACTTGGGGTAAATTCTTGCTGTTCATTTTGTATGCTGACTGGCAAAGTTTGACCTAGATGATGCAGACAGATTTATACACACACTGCTTCTACTTGACTTTAAGGTTATCCTGGAATTAGCTGGATATAATAGAGTACACCTCCAGTCTCAACACTTGAGAAGTAGAGATCGGTCAAGGAGTTCAATGTCATCGGATGGACAACAAGTTTGAGGCCAGTCTGGGCTACATGAAACCCTGTCTGAAAAGCACAGATTATTCTTGTATAGAGACTAGAAAAAAATAAGGTTGTGCATTTGCCTTGCTTCTACTAAGTAGCTAAGTTGTCCATAACTTCTGTCAAAAACAGTGCTTTCTGCTCAGGAGAGTCACAGACTGCACAGACATTTGCTGGGGTCAATGTAGGTCGTCATCACTTCTCTCAGCCCTAACACATAGGAAGAGATGGAGACTTAGCACTGGAGTGGGTAGGGGGCGGGGACCAATCACATGAGCCTTGAAGTTCCCTATGTTTTCAGGTAACTTCTCTGGAAATAAAAGCATCATAAAGCTGAAAAATGTGTCCTTTAGGGTTAAATGGGAACACATGCAGTTGTGGAGTGAGACTCATGGCCTTTTCTCTGCTGAACTAGCTAGCCCATCATGCACTTGAGAAGCAGTTGAGAGGAGGTTGGTAGGTGAAGGCAGGGCAGCAGCCTCGTCTGGCTTTGAATATGGGAGACTGCCATGTCTCAGCATGAAATTACACAACCGGAATCTCTCACACGACAGCCACTCGCAGCATTGTGTTCTTCTTTTTCCATTTCTCCAGGAAGTATATTTTCCAACCTTCCCCTGGATGCTCAACGTAAATTCAGAGACCTTATCCAGCCTGCTAAAGCACAACACAGACTGGCATGATGGTGCTTGTAATCCTTGCTTGTTCAAAGGTTGAGGCAAGATGATGACAAATTCAAGGCCAGCTAAGGCTACAGAGCAAGACCCTGTCTCAAAATAGAGAAGGGCTGGTAATGTTGCATAATGCTAGAATGCTTGCTCTAACTCATTCTCTAGCACTGGAAAGAAGATTTAAAAAAAAAAAACAGATTTAAGAAGTTGATGAGTCATGGTGCAAAGAAATATCGCAAGAAAGGCCTGCAACTGGTGCACATGCAGGGCATCACTTCTTGGTCATCTCTTGGGCGTTTCAAAGGTCTGGGATTTTTCTTGAGTCCTTGAAACTTAAGCACACGTTGACAGAAGAATAAGGAATAAAACCTTGGGTTTTATACCTGTATTTCCTGCTTCTTAAGCATCATGAAGAATATGTAATCAGACAAAAAGGGATCTTGGATTTTTTGCTTTTTTTGTTTATTGAGACACCGTCTCTTGTAGTCCAGGCTGGTGTCATAAATTTATTATATAGCTAAAGATAACTTTGAACTCTTGATCTTCCTGCCTCCACCTCCAAAATGCTAAGATCAAAAACGTATACCCCAATGCCCAACTCCAAAAGGAATCTTTTAATGTCATTCTGACCATGTCTTTTGATTTATTAAAGGTCTTTTCTGGCAGTGTCTTTGTATATAAGTGAGGTAAATGAAGTCATGTTTTTCATTAGTAAACTGGCCAACTCTTAAGAAATGGAAGATCAGAGGGCTAAGCATGTGTGGTGGCCCATGCCTTTAATCCTAGCACTAGGGAGGCAGAGGTCTCTGAGTTTGAGGTCAGCTTGGTCTACATAGTTCCAGGACAACTGGAGCTATGTAGAGAGACCCCGTCTCAAAAGAGAAGGGGTGTAGGATGGACAGAGGGAGGAAAGGAGGAAAAACTAGGCGTTCAAAGCCAGTTTGTGCTATCTAATGAGTTTAAGTCCAGCCTAGGCTGAGAAACCTGCCTAAAAGCAAAATGCAAGAAACAAACAACAGCAATAAAACAGGAAGCAATCTGATGTCTTGGGTGGTTTCCTATAAACTTAACCATCCTAGCAGATTCTTCTAGGGATTTAAGTTGTAGTTGAGGAATAGCCAAATGGGACTGAAAGCAGGGATCATTCCAGAAGGCAGTGAATGTGAAGTCAGGATAAGGGCAAGGAGCCTGGCCTTGTGAAAGGCTAACTAGTAGCTAGTTGTCTAGGCTTTGGAAGCTCAGAAATGTTACAGAGCTGCATGAGTGTCACAGGGCCTGCCATGACTTTGCCATTCATTGTAGTACAGAGCAGCTTAGGTTTCATAAGCCAGGGAGGCTTCATGAACACTGAATCCCACGTGACACTCGCCCTGGAAACAACTCTTCTGATCTGTCAGCCTTTAAACTCTAAAAGGCCGCCTTAGCTCACAAGTTAGGAATTGCACTGGGCAGGAGGCTGGTAGTTGCCAATCCTGGTCTGTCAGGAGAAGGTCTTTGGATTGGAGGCCAGCAGCGTCATCAGTTCCTCAGGGTGTGCCTCTCAGGCAGGTGAAGTCTGAGGCTGGATGACCCGTGATGGGCTTTTCCCCACTACTTCATTAGGATGGCAGTGCCTTCAGTTACCCTGTACTTGTGGTGCTTGCTCCCACTGCCTTATCCTGGGGCATCTTCTCCAAAAAATCCCAGGGGGAAGGCCAAGGAAGGAAGGAGAGAAAGGGAGCATCCCACTGCACTTCAACAGTCCTTGTGTTCCTTCCATGGTGCAGTCCTGACGGCCTCTTCCCACCCTGGGTCTGTTGTCTTTTGCAGGCTTTGCCTTGGTAAACACTGTCAGGGCAGAAGCCTCATCATTCCCTGGGGCAGTTTAAGTCCTCACTGTCTTCTGAGTGAAATAAATACCCTTTCTTGCCCTGTTGTTTCTAACCTGTGGCTCCTGCCATCTGTCAGGTGATACATTAAAAAGAGTAACAGTCACGCTCTTTTGCATCTTGAATTGAAAATAGTGCTTTTCTCAAATATAAAATATATTACTATACTTTCAGGTTTCTCTTAGCCACTGAAATATCTCTCATTTGCTTTCTTTAAAATTTTCAGGTAGAAAAACCTTGTGGTGGTGGTCAAGATTTACTTCTTTATCCTGCCAAGAGAGAGCAGCCCTTGAGAAGTGAACAGGACCCTGAGAAGGAGCTCCCGGCCCCACTACCTGCTCCCAAGCAGGAGGTGCCATCGAAAGAGAGCCCAACAGTGATGCTAGATGTGAAGCAGAAAGTGGCAGAGCTGCTGGTGAAATACTCAAGTGGCCTTTGGGCGAGCGCACTCCCCAAAGCATATGAGGACACATACAAACTCAAGTTCCCTGAAGATGCCTTAAAGAATCTCGCCTCGCTCTCTGATGTGTGCACCATAAACTACATTTCCGGGAATGCCCAGAAGGCAATTCTCTATGCGAAACTCCCATTGCCCACTGACAAGAGCTTAAAGGATGAAGGGCAGGCTCAAGGAGATTTTGATATCAAGGCAATGATCGAAAAAGAGTTTTTGCAGATAGAAAAAAACATGACTGAAAGTGCTGATGGCTTTGTGGAGGACATAACCGTGCCACCTCTGGTGATCCCTACCGAGGCCTCCCCTTCTGTGTTGGTGGTTGAGTTAAGCAACACAAATGATGTGGTTATCAGGCAAGTTGGCATTTCTAGTTGTTGAGATGTGATGCACTGTTGTTGCTTGGCCATCCTTTGCATGAGTGGATGCTGTTGAGTGAAGGAAGAATGCCTCCCTTAGGGTTGTAGTGGAATGCAGAAATGTGCTAATATTTGTTAAATGCCCACAACGTTCTTAGGAGAAAGGAAGAGTAATAGTTTTTAAAGATTGGAATGATAATATGAACCTGGAAAAATTATGTCATAAGCATCATGACAACTGTATCAAAAGCATTATATTTTTATCCAACCTGTAAATAGCAAGCACTCTTCAAACCAGGTGATCCCATCGATCTAGGACTGTGCAGCAGTCCTGAAAAGTTAGGGTAACTAACTTCACCATACATCTCAGAATAGCCACTGGGCCTACAGGTGCCCGCTGACTTGAGCCTTTAGATATTATTGTGTGGTACAAGTAACTTTTACCTAACTGGTTAATGAGAACTAGAATTTTTTTATTATTTATTTGTATTTTGGTTTTTCGAGACAAGATTTCTCTGTAGCTTTGGAGCTTGTCCTGGCACTAGCTCATGTAGACCAAGACCAGACTGGCCTTGAACTCACAGAGATCCCTCCTGCTCTGCCTCTTTGAGTGCTGGGACTAAAGGCGTGCGCTGCCACCGCCCAACTGATAGCTAGAATTGAAAACATAGGCTCATCTCTGAATGCTTGTCTTAGACTTGTAGGAAACTGTGAAGCATCCAGAGAATGTAGGAAGATTGTAATTTGCTACTTCCTGAAGTAGGAACCTGTGTCAGTGAAGCATTGGATCACTGTCCAGTGTTGAACTGGGGCTAATTAGAGGGGGAAACACTGAAGCAAAACACAATCCAGTCCCCTTCACCCCAAATGGCCCTCTGGTTTGGGCTTCCCAGGACCCATAGCCCAGAGAAAGCCCACATCAGAGTTCTTCCAGAAGGAAGAGCTGGACAACATTAAAGCTCCAGGGCTTGAGCAAGCTGAGACTAAAGAGGCTATGATACCTGGCTCCATCGCCAGGAAGGATCTTTAGGACTGTGGTTTCTATGGAGTATTGGGTGCAGGTAAAGCTTGGTGTGATGGTATGCTGAGGTTGGTCTGTACTCCAGTCTCTGTTCCCTCCCTCAGGTAATTTGGAGCTGGTGTGCAAGCCTGTACTTGCTCTTGCTCACCCTCACCCAGCTGTAGTACCACCCCTTGTCCTCACTCATGAGTGTAGCCAGCCTTCTCCACCGGCTGTTCTGAGAGCAGAGGCAGGTGCAGCTTTAGCTCCAGGACCCTGCTAGGACTTTGCACTGGGCAGATTCCCATCACCTCAGTTCAGGTCCCAAGCTCCTGAGAGACAAGATCACAGTGGGAGATCACATTCAGCCTCTCCTTAACGTTCACTGCACTCAGTAAGTATGAGTGATGGCATTTGACAAAGGATCTAACCAGTTCAGGGACGAAAACTACATGTAGAGTTTCATCTTAAAATAGCCCGTGTCTCCAAAGGTGCAGTCTTTGCATTTTGTGTAAAACTCTTTCTAGCATTCCCACTTCTCTCTAGAACAGGGAGGGTGACTGAGCCATCTTCTGTCCTGCTTCTAGTTACTAAGACCACAAGGAACAGGTTCTTAGGGTTTCCTCAATCACCTGAGGCTCTGGGTAAAAACTGGAGCAATACAAGAAGCAGGGTTCCCCCTCCTGGGCTGGGTAACTTGGGTGCTCTTCCAGCTGGCAGATGTCATCCGTAGCTGAGATATTCCCACTGTATAAGCCAGACATGGTTTTCCAGATCTAGAATCCTGAAATGTGGCCCTTAAGAAAGGCAAGAAAACAACCTGCTCACGCAGACAAGAAAGGAATGTGTTTTGAAAACACTGGATCAAAGGACTGCATGTCAACAGTAGAACTGTTTAGAAAAGGCTGGGGTGTGTTTGAAAACAGTACTGCTCAGGCTATACATTTCAGAGGCATCCAGCCAGAGCATGTCATCCCTAAGATACCAACACAGCATTTTGTTGTAATTTACTCAGATTTTTTAAATAAGTTTTTTTGGGCATTCTGTTGCTATATTTGTCTCTCTTTCAGGGAGCCCAGAGATGGAACCCAAGGGCTTGGCACAAGCTAGGGAATTGCTCTGCCACATAGAATCCCCAGACCTAATTTTGTTGTTGGTAGTTTCCCTGCTTTTCAAAGCTTTAGAATTTTGAGATGCAGCCTTGGCCAGGGTAAAACTATTTGCCAGATTCTTTTTGTAGTAGTCCATGGAGATCTCAGCAGCCTCAATCAAACTGTGGAGGGCTCATCTGGCCTCCATGGTGTCTCCATGCACCTTCCCTCCTCCATCCCTGGGACTTCCAATGCATACATTTCACCTGGCCATTCTCAGGACTGTCAAACATTGCCACATTAGGCTGTGATCTCCATAGCCTGTCCTCCTGCACTTCCCTAAGCACAGTTCCTCCCCCTGCTGGTGTGAGCAGCTGAGACTGGAAGTGAGGATGGTTGTAGGGAGCCAGGCTCCACTCTGTGGATCACTCACCCAGAGATCACTCTCTTGTTTTCTCATTAATCCAGGTATGTAGGCAAAGACTACTCGGCTGCTCAGGAACTGATGGAGGATGAGATGAAGGAGTATTACAGTAAGAACCCCAAAGTCACACCAGTCCAGACCGTGCATGTGGGGCAGCTGCTGGCAGTCAATGCAGAGGAGGATGCCTGGTTACGGGCACAGATCATTTCCACGGATGAGAACAAGATAAAGGCAAGCTCAGTTTTGTCTAGCATGAGGTAGATATGTTACCGGTTTTCAGATACGATTGCTGCTTCTCATTGTCCGTTCACAGCCTGTGTGATTTTCAGTAGAAATTCGAAGACAGTGTCTGTAGCAGCTGTCCTCATCAGCTCTTATGTCAGTGGGAGTCATGAGTCCTGTTTCCTAAAGTCACAGAGCAAGTAAAGTCCTCTGATGGGGGCAGAAGGGCATTTCCCCACCCCAACACCGAGGAGCTCTGTGAGCAGCTTCAAGCAGGCTTATCCTGGGGAAGCAACCCCCACAGAGAACCATTCTTCTTCCTCTCAGTGTCTTAGTCTGAAAGGGGCTGCTCCCAGGGTTACCTCCAGGACTTCTGGCAGCTAGGAGGAGTGTACAGGCACTGCTGTTACTCAGGTGACGCTGAGATCTGTAGCCACTTGATGGTGCCAGAGAGCCAGAAATGGAAGCACTGGGTGCCTGCTCGCTGCTGGCTGCCCTGTCTCAAGCTGAATTGCATCTTCTGTTCTCCTAGAGCAAAGAACACAGGGTGTGTGAGTCATATGGGCCCATCCAGGAACAAGTTTTTTTTTTTTTTTTTGTGAATTGTGGTTGTCATATAAATATGTGTTAGTAGCTGGACCGGGTGGTGCAGGTCTATAATCCAGCCACTTGGGAGGCAGAGGCAGGAGGAGCAGCCTGAGTGGCAACTTTGTAAGAGCCAGTCTCAGTTACAGGATGTAACTCAGTGCTAAGACACTTGCCTAGGAAACAACAGTGGGCCTCAAGTTCAGTCTCCCGTATCACAGAACAAACGGAAATCCACCACTACTGCCACCACAACTAAACTACAGTGCTGTCAAGCCAGCTGCAGACAGACCCTGTGGAGACTCTGGAGGGCTCCTGCCGCAGTCTGCTGCTTGGCTAACAATATGGCCTGACTGTCTCTAGCATCCTATCATCAGAGTATATGCCGTGGGCCCAGGAAGAACAAGTCAAGTTGCAGTTGTAGATTGCTTTGAATGAGAATGAAAGCTGCCTGAGTCTTGAGGCCTGCAAGAGGAAGAAGTTAAGGGTGGGAAAGGTGAAGTTGTGCACTGAGTGGCTGACAGCTGACCCTTTAGACTCTGTCACAACCTGGGTGCAGGCAGTGGAGTCCACTATCATTGCCTGAGAGGGAGTCTTTGCTCAGCAGCCAGGCACACTCACCACACGGTCTGGAGTTAGAGGGTTCCTTGCTGCTTTTCTTCCTCATACTCTGCTCTGGAGGAATTTATCTTCATTTCCTGCTGGTGCATGTACCCCATTTTCTTCAGAAGACACAGGCACCTGCCTCTGTTGACTGCTATTTTCTAGCCAACTCTCTGCCTGCCTTTTGTTGCTTGCTTTGTATTTATTCTTAATAACTGTCATGTGCTTTCATTAGGAAAGCATAATAAGCTTTCAACAGTCTCAGACTCTTAGTTATTCTAAACCCATGATAGTAAAACTTAGTTTCTAGTTACTAAGAAAAAAAATCTTTCATAGGTTGGAAGACAGAGGCTAAATGAATGAGTCCCAGGCAAGGCAGGGCTACATAGCGAGACCTTGTCTTGAAAACTAGAGAGGGAGTTTTTGTGGTCTTGAGGACTTCTCTGCAGAGTTGTGTGTGTGCTGTAAAGGTCATCTCTGTGCCACTGGTGTGTGTTGCAGTCACACTTATGTGGCTGTAATGAAGTATCTGGACAAGAGACAGCGCAGGAGGGTTTATTCATGATGCAGTCTTTCACTGCAAGAGAGTCAAGGCAGAAACAACAGTTAGTCCGTCTGCAACAAGAGCAGGGAGAAATGAATGCATATACACTTGTTGCTCAGCACAGGGTCCAAAACCAGGGCATGGTGTTGCCCACTTTGAACCCAGGTCTTCAATATCAATTGAGGTAGTTTAGATAGTCCGCCACAGACATTGTACAGGCCACCCTGACGTAGACTCACCGAGACACTTCCAGGTTATGGAAAGGTGACACACTAACCATCACAGTGAGAAGAATGTACAGTTCTGGGCTCTGTCTGAGAGCTTGGCCTTTGCTAAGGTGCGTGAAGACATAATCTAGCTCTGTGCACTGGAAGAAGACACTAGGTTTTCCTTTTTTTTAAAAAAAAAAATAATTCTCTGTTGTCCAAGCTGACATCATTGTTGCCCCCAACAGGAATATGTCAACCCCTAGGAGCACAGTAGCCCAGAGCAGGCCGTCAAAGTGATGCCTTGGGATTCTAGAATGTGGCCAGCATTACAGGGTTGATGGCTTCTCTGGAAATAGCTATTGCCCCTGAGAATGGGAAAGACTTGTGGTAGGAAGGATAAGATGACACAGCACTAGATGAAGATGGGGAGAAGCTAGACAGTAGCATTGGTGGCCTTGGTGGGGCCTCAGAGTCTGCTCTGCCTTGGCCTTGTTCTTCTGTTGACCAAGGGGTGAGGTGGCAGACAAGGGCCTGGAACATGGGACCTTGAGGCCAGCCTGCTGTCATCTTCTGGGGTGCATCAGAGAGCCTTTCCTTTGGCTTTGAGGAGACAGCTAAAGATACCACTTGCTGATTTTGAAATAAATTAAATCCAGTTAAAGGTATTACAGTTTTTAATAAGGATGAAGGCTTTGGTCGTAGACATGACTGGCTTTGCTTTGTTCCTTAGGTGTGCTATGTTGACTATGGCTTTTGTGAAAGCATTGAGAAGAGTAAAGCATACAGACTGAACCCACGCTTCTGCTCTCTGTCCTTCCAAGCTACGAAGTGCAAACTAGCAGGTAAGTGGGCTTCTTAGAAAACCCTTGTTACCAGTCTAGCCGTTCAGCTTGAAAATTCTCACTACATAGCCTAAACTGGCCTTGAACTTAAACTTCTTCCATCTCATCTCCTCAGTGCCTCCCTTACAGTTGTGACCTACGACTCCCAGCTCATAACATGTTTTTCTTAAAAGGTTGAGTGAATGAACTCATATGTAAGGTGTTCTGTCTAACCTGTCTAACATGTAGTAATGATGCAGATGTGACAGTGGATTTTTTTCTGTTATATATATTTATTGTGTAGAATATATCTCATTGTATTTTATTTTAAAAAGTTCATCTAGACATTTGAAAGGGTTTATGCTTGTTTTGTTTTGTCTTAGTTAAAGTGCATACAGCCCTGTACCATGGGACTCACTCAGTCTCATTCCTGTTGCTTCAAGTATTAGGAGGGTCCGTCAGCCCTCCCATAGAGGTGGACTGTGGAGATGCTGTCTGCTAGCAAGCCATTGTGCACCCAGGTGATCTTGACTGGGTTGTGTCCTGGTGCTTACATACTTCCTCTTTACAGAAGCATAGGAATATGCACATGTGGCTGGCACTAGGAATAAGATGTGGAAGGCACAATAAGATTAATGATATTAGGCCTTGTACCAAGGAGGCTTGTACTTCTAAAAGGTATCATAACTCTTTTTTCTAAAATCTCTCTCTCTCTCTCTCTCTCTCTCTCTCTCTCTCTCTCTCTCTCTCCCTCCCTCCCTCTCCCTCCCTCCCTCCCTCCCTCTCTCTCTCTCTCTCTCTCTCTGCTCCTTTTATGTCTGTGTGTGTGTACATACACACATACATAAAATGCCTGTATTCCCCATGTAGACAAGTGGCTGTGACTATACAGGCCAGAGGTATTAGCTTCTCTGTACTTGGAGTTGCCAGCAATTGTGAGCCTCCCAGTGTAGATGCTGGGACCTGAACTCGGGTCCCCTGGAAGGATGGGAGCTCTGTAAACCACTGAGCCATCTCTCATAGTTCTTACGTGAAAATGAGCCCTCTACAGAAATACCTCACACATGTGATATCAACATTTCAGAGTCTAAGACCTCAAATTGGAGGCCAGCCCAGGCTACATAGTCAGTTCCAGGCCAGTGTGGACCTATAGAGTGAGTCCCTGTCTGAAAAAAGAAGAAAGGGTGTAGGGGCAGTGTCCCCACAACAAGGATGAGTCCTTATGTCTCTGAAGGGCCTGAGTCTGAGGATAAGGCCAGTGAGCTTTGAAGAGCCCATCAAAAGCTCTGAAATTGGTTTTGGTCTGGAAAGGGTACATTGCAAGTGCAGGCCAAGAGTCCGGATGCTGACTGAAAGGGTGAGGAGAGTTCCAGTACTAGGAGTCCTGAAGTGGGAAGAGCAGGAGTCTGCCTTGTAGCTAAGTCAAAGAGAAAAGTAGAGAAGGAGGCCCTGACTACAGGAAATGGGGTGCTCGTTTTAGGTTAGTTTAGTAGATGAACTTAAAGTTGCCGTGTATGCGTTATATTGAATTCCAGTTGTCAAAGAACTGAAAGAGTAATTAGTGACATTGTACCTGATGCCTGTGTTGAATGGAACATCAATTTCCTTTGATATATCAGAGGTTCTGTGGTGTCCTCAGAGTGAGTGATGGATAGGAAGGAAAAGGGGGGAAAAGGGGAGGAAAGGGAATATTTTGGTTTTTAGTAATACATGTTAATTTTATAAGGAAAGTTGCTATGCAGGTTTAACTGAAAATGGAAGCCTGCTCTGCCTTGACTTGATACACCTCACTTGCGCTTGCATAAGCCCATGGGAGACCTGTCCTTTCTGAATGAAGATGGAGGAGTGGATGGGATGGGGGAGTAGATGCCAAAGGGGAGGGGACTGGAGGAGAGGAGGGCGGGGAACCTCGTTGGTATGTGAAATAAATGGAAAAAATGTTATTTAAATATAAAATAAATAAATTTTTAAAAAATTCCAGAAGCATAATGAAGAAAAAAGTACACGATTTACAGGTTCTTGTTCATGTTAGTCTCTTGTTTTACATCCACATTTACATATGACTTGCAGGCTGCTCCTTCTGTGATAAAGCTCTGCTTGGTCATCAGTCTCCTTACCTTAAGAGTGACTGCTCTAATGTGTCTCTTAAAGAGGCATGCCCTTTATCTACAGATGTGTAAGGTAAAGAAGACTGGGAAATGAAGCTGCCATTGGAAAGTCAACAAGTGGTCGATATAGGCACTGAAGCTGTCTGTCCATGATGCTTCTGTGACTAAGTAGAAATGAAAGCAGTTGCTGTTTTCCAGGGTTGGAGGTTCTGAATGATGACCCTGACCTCGTGAAGGTGGTCGAATCATTAACATGTGGGAAGATCTTCGCTGTGGAGATACTCGACAAGTCAGACATCCCCCTGGTGGTTCTGTATGACACCTCAGGAGAAGATGATATCAATATCAATGCCACCTGCCTGAAGGCCATCTGTGACAAATCTCTAGAAGTTCATCTCCAGGTACCACTGTGGTGGTCACTGTTCAGTGTGAAGTATGTGGGGGTATGTGGGAGTCCTCTACAAACAGACACCACAGCCTGCAGAGCGGCAAGAGGAAGTCTGTTTCAACACGACTCAGTAGCAGTGTTGGTTCAAACCTTGAGAATCTGTTTATTTTAGGTACATTAAACATATCACAATTTGGAAAAAAGTTTCCTGGTGACAGTTAATTCAGTCCCATGTGCACAACAAAACTTACAACATAACTGCATTGAAACTCTTGTAAAGAACAAGTAGCATTGTCCATAAAGATAGGTTCTGTAGATTAACTGAGAAGGCAGACTCAAAGCAAACAATGCTCATGGTGAGAGTCTGGGGGAGGATAGCTCTATAGATTGATTGAGAGAAATAGGCTCAAGGTAAGGGTCTGGGGAGCCAGTGTGGCTTTGCCATACGGATAGCACAGAGGTTACCAGGCTATTAACCAGCCTTCTTCCATTTCCAACCTTGTGGGCAGAAAACAGGTTATATATCTCTTACTTTAAAGAGACAACCCTGCGTGCTTAACATTCCTGGTTTCCCTAGTGGTTATCTGTGAGCACAAGGCCCTTCATGCCTCCTACAAAAGTAAATCATCAGGGTCTGGGGACATTGTGGAGCAGGGAAGGTGCTTACCATACAAGCAGGAGGACCTGAATTCCATCATAGCCTGTACATAGTACAAAACAACAACAAAAACCCTGCTGCTGTGGTGTGTATCTAGAGTCCCAGCTCTTGGGAGCAAAGGCAGGGTGATGCTGGGATTCAGCACGCAAATCATCCATTCAGCAAGAGCCCTTGTCTCAAAAGATGAGATGGAAAATGTTGAGGAAAATACTTGGCATCTACTTCTAGTTTACATACTAATACATATATACAAGCACACATGTTTGCACACACACATGCACTTAAGAAAAAGGAAAAAGAGTGAATGAGGGAAAAGAGAAGAACATCAGAAAAGAAAGTTAAAGATTTTAGACAAATAACTGATACCACATAACTCGAAAAACAAGGAGGGAGGAAGAAGGGGAAATGGCATCACCTTACTAGGGAAAAAGCAAGCAAGGGGAGTAAATGGACAATGACAGGCTGGTCCTAGTAATTATTTCTTATGGATTAGATTTCTTATTTTCCAGTTTCTGCAGTAGAAATAATTTTATATGGAGTTTTCCTGTAAAGATTAAAAAGCATAAGGAAAAATTCCATTCGTGAAAATATTTATTGTTAGCCTGAACATTTTTTAAATCCGTAGGACATAAATGAACAAACTAACAAGTTATAGAATATTCAACTGAAAGAATAGGGTGGGTAGTAAAGAATATTTTAAAAACTTGATAAAAATGTTTAGGCTTTTAACAAAATAGGACTATGAATTATTTTTTATATGTTGTGATTTGGCCACAAAAATGGTCAAGATTAAATCTTTATGTTGATCATAGATTTTAAAAATGATTAAAATTCATGTACCCCATTGTAAGGGCTAGTTTTGTGTCAATTTGGCATAAGCTAGTGCCTTTTGGGATGAGAGACTCTCAATTGAGAAAATGCCCCCATCTGATTATCCTGCAGGGGTATTTTCTTGCTTGACCACGTGGCAGGGCCGAGCTCACTGTGGGTAGCACCACCCCTGGGTAGGTGTTCCTGGGGTGTGTAAGAAACCTGCCTGAGTAAGCCATGAAGAACCAGGCTATAAGCAGCATTCCTCCATGGCTTCTGCTTCAGTTCCTGCCTTTAGTTCCCTCCCTGACTTCTCTCAATGATGAGCAATAATCATGAAGGTGAAGTAACCCTTTCCTCCCCAAGTTGCTTTTGTCATAGTGTTTATCACATCAGTAGAAACTAAAAGATAAAGCAGACTGGTAATGGAATGGATTTTTTGAGATTTAAAAACAATATCAATCGTGTCATCATTTGTGAGCTTGGTGGCCCAAGGAAAAGTCCCCCGACAAAAAAGTATGATTTTAGAATACTCTTTATTCTTGGGAGACAATAAGCCAGTTAAGAACACATTCAGCCTTCAGGATGATGGGATGTTTAGGGAATGTCTCTTTTGTGCCTGACACAAATGACACTTGTATCATGTAAGTTATTAATTTTCTTCTGCCTAGATGTCTTTTAACTTCAAGGATTTTAAAATGTGACATTAGTTCATTTTCTTGTTACTGTGTCCCAACATCTGACAGGAGCAACTGAAGGGAAGAAGGATTTATAGGCTCGTTCTGTGAGGGGATACAGCCCAAAATGGCAGGGAAGCTGTCACTGTGGGCAGGTGGGGCACCCCTCGCATACTTCTGCATCATTTCTGTAGAAATGATGGCCTGTTGGGGCTCAGCTCACTTCCTCCTCTTTCTCAGGAATTCAGCCTGTGGGATGAAGCCACTCACACTGAAGTATAGGTACTCATTAAACCTTTCTAGAAACACCTCATACATGCTTCAAAGGTATTGTGGCTCTCAGAGTTGTCAAGTTGACTGTATATAGTAACCATCACAAGTATGTAAATGGAATGGGCTGTTCAGGTAACTGCATAAAGAGGTAAAGGCAAGCATATATTCTCAGACAGTCTCTGTGTTTGCTTGTTCCAGGTGGATGCCATGTACACAAATGTCAAAGTGACTAACATTTGCTCCGACGGAACACTCTACTGCCAGGTGCCATGCAAGGGTCTGAACAAACTCAATGACCTTCTGCATAAGATGGAGGACTACTTCCACTGCAAGGTATGGTGGAGCACCATCTCCCGAGATGAGCCGCAGACTGTAAGCAGGGCTCAGAGTGCATTAGGTTAAGTAACTGTTAATAATTAGAGGTCGATGCTTTACATGGTGAGTAGAAAACTTGACAAACTCCCTCTCCTGCTTTATGAAATGAAAGTGCAGCTGTGTGTTCCAGTGAACCATCACGAAGATAGTCACAGTGCCTGGCCTGGATGAAGTGTTCAGCAGTGGAATTGTTTACGTAGGACAGGCAGCTGATGGGGCCTGAGCACAGCTTGACTGTGACTACCCGCAGGAGCCAGCTTATCAGGCGTCACCCTCAAGCTCTCTGTTGAGGAGAGCCGGCTCGTAAATGTGATTCTGCAGTTCAATCCTCCTTCCTTTCATTCTGACTCAGAACATGCAGAGGTTTTGAGTCACTAATACGATGTAATTGTAATCCAGAATGTGCTGTGGTTTACAGATAACCAGACTTCTGCTTCAGCCCTGTCACCCCTGGAATGGGGAACCCTTCACTTCACCACAAAGGATGTCTAACACCTCAAGTTACTTTGTTTAGCTTTGTAGTATTTTGGCTAGTTGGCTACTCCCCTCCCTTAGGAAAGAGCAGTGGTTTTCAACCTTCCTACTGCTGTGCCCTTTAATACAGTTGTCCTTATGTTGTGGTGACCCCCAGCCATAAAATTACTTTGTTGCTGCTTCATATCTATAATTTTGCTAGTTATGAATTGTAATGTAAATATCTGATATGTGTCCTCCGTGGGGTTGCTACCCATGGGTTGAAAACCACTGGGATAGAGACAGTTGTCAGTTTTCTGCATTCCTTTTTTAGTTTTGTCCATAGAATATGTAGTCTACAGTATACAGTGAGTCAATTTAACTCTTACTCATGGTGTCTGGAGTAGAGACATCAAATATATAGCTTTACTTCTTTATGTTGGAGATGCCATTTTATATATTTTATTGTATATAAATTATATATTATACTATTATATTAATACATGTCTAATTATATAATTATGAATACATTACATGTCTACAAATTTAAAATTAAATAATTAAAAATAAAAATATATAAATTACATGCAATTTATATTATATAAATATAATACAATATAATATAACAAAATATTATATACCAGTATATATAGTATATATTTTTATATATGTCATATGTTTCTGTGTATGTAAAGTTTCATTTATTGCTTGAGTTTGGGAAAATAGGCGAACCCTAGAGAGGCTAATCTTGTGAGGATTGTTTGTCCTAATAACCAACCCTGGATGCTGTAGAACACTCCACGTTTTCTAGTGCTTTGCTGCCCAAGGGGAGTCCTTGCCCAAAGAGACTAGCAGCAGTCACCAGAACAGCAAGCCCTGGGAAGACACTGAGTGTTGGCTGGGCAGAAGAGGGGCTGACGAGAACCCTGCCGTTTGTTAGCATCTCACAGGCACTGATGTCTGTGCTGATAACACTCTTAGCTTGGAATGAAAAAGAAATGGAATAGTAACATGACCTGGCCTTCTTACTTCATCTGTCTGTTCTGCCTGGTCAGCTCCAGCAGCCCTTTTGCTGTGCACTAGTGGAGTCAGAGCCCCACATGAACCCCAGCGACCCTGCTGACATTTAAGGCACTTTAAGTGTCAGTCTGTGAACAAACTGGTACTAGCAAGCCTGACAGAGCAGAGTGCAGAGTCTGTAGCTCCATGGTAAACTTGTCTGCTGCAGCTGTTTCTGGGGAGGAAAGGAAGCCTGACCACCCGTGGGTAAACAGTCCACGCCTCCACGTACTCCAGTGCTGCAGCCGTGTTTGCTGAGAGTAAGAGCTGTTTCTGCCTTTCTGTCTCATAGCACATGACCTCTGAGTACTTCATCTCACTGCCCTTCTGTGGGAAGATCTGCCTCTTTCATTGCAAAGGAAAATGGCTACGAGTGGAGGTAAAATCAGTCCCTTGACTTGTAAACATTATTCTTAAGTGTTTCACATATGTGAACAGATTTTATCAATAGTAAAATAAAAATGTTTGGATTCATCACCAGTTTCTGACAGCCAAGATGGCCATATGGTTTGAGCTCCTAGTCTCATCTTCCTGCCTCTGCTCTGAGGAAGCCAGCAGCTGAATTTTTTTATGTTTTTAGTATATGTATAGCTGCACCTATAGCTTTGCTATATATTACATATACAATAGAATATATATATATATTCTAGAACTATAAAGATGAATATGTATTTAGAATATGCATATTAAAAAATAAGATTAAGGAGGTGGCTCAGTCAATAAAGTGCTTGCTGTACAAGCATGCAGATCCAAATTTGGGTCTCCAGCACCCACATAAAGAGCCAGGCACAGTAGCAGGTGCCTGTAACACCAGCTCTGGGAAGGTAGAGAAACCCTGGGGTGGCCTTGCTAAATTGATGAGCTTGAATTAGTGAGCTGTGAATTCATTGGAAAAACCTTGTTTAAAAAATAAGATAGTGATTGAAGAATATTCATATCAGCCTTTGGTCTCAACATGTATATGTGCACGTTGTGCTCTCATGCATGTATGCGCGCGCACACACACACAAATGGTTAAATGAGCTTCTTTAAATTTTATGGAAATACTGTCAAAGCATTAATCTTCTGAAGCATGCTTTTCACTCCTTGTGAGACAGCTCTGTTGCGGTAGTCTGTTTCCATGCTGTGTAATGCAGCAAGAAGAATGGCCCAGCACTGGCATACAGCTGTCCCCACTGTTCCCATGAATGTTTGTGAGGTCTGTTTTCACTGTGCACCTTCCTGTGTGCCGTACTCTGAGAACAAGGAAAGCAAACCTAGAAGATGAGAACAATCAGCGAATTGCTTTCTGAAATACGTAAGCAGTGCTTCAGCAGACAGATTAACTGTACTGACCCTCCCTTTTAGTAGGGCTCAGCCATCCCTAGCCTAATGAAAGCACAGTGCTTTGGTGTGACGGTGTTCCCTGAAGGCTGAGATCCAGGGTTTGTGACATAGGTCACGTGTCACATGCTCAGCATGGTATTACGGAGCTCTTAAAGCTTTGTTGTTTAGTTGATAATATGCAAATGTGCAGATCTGTTTTTAATTTAAAACATAATTCACTGGGCAGTGGTGGCGCAGGCCTTTAAACCCAGCGTTTGGGAGGCTGAGTCAGGTGGATCTCTGTGAGTTCAAGGCCAACTTGGTCTAGAGCTAGTTCCAGGACAAGTTCTAAAGCTACAGAGAAACCCTGTCTCAAAGAGCCAAAAAAAAAAAAAAAAAAAAAAAAAAGTTAACAAAGGTAATATAAAGAGGCCCCACTTCCCTGTCAGCATCTTGTTTGTATAACCAGTCTTTGATTCCCAAACCAGAAATCAACATAAATACAAGTAACTAGTGTGCAGGATTTTGTCGTTTCTCACATTGTGACATCATGTCCTTTTCTGCCCTGGGATCCAGTCTGGGTGCTCCATTAGGTATACCTGTCATGCTTCTCTAAGTCCTCCAACGTGCTGCTAGTTGGTCTTCATTTTTATGACTCTAAAGAGTAGTGTCATTTTGTAAATTTTCTTACAATTTGAGTGTTTTTGTTAAATTTCTGCTGTGTTGGACAGAAGTGTTCCTTAGTCTGTATACAAATACTTAGCAATAAAATATACTATATATTTATTCTATAAAATTAAGTGATGTCTTTGTTTTTGACAGTTATACAAGAATTGCTGGGCTCTATGTAGTTTTCCTTATTGCTGAGCATGAATTTGGACTTTATCTTATCCCTCTGACTTTTTGAGCTTCAGTTTTTTTCAGTTAGCAGCAATGATTAAAAATGACTAGATTTATAGTGAAACTGTGAAGTATGATATGATTTCAAAACATTTTCCCTCTTCAGGTAAAATTCCATCTTGAATTATTGATGCTTTTATTTTCTTATTAGGATAGAAGAATTTTCCTACATGTTTTAATATTTTAATAATAGCGTTGACTAATTAGCAGTATTAAAGAACTAGAGATGTAGTAGACACTGGTGTTCTTACAGTGGTTGCTGGTCAGTACTGTTCTGTGTTGACTGACTTAGAAGAAAGGTTCCATACTGTAGTCTTGAGTATTTAATAAATACTTTTAAAAAGAGAAGCTGATAGTTTGGGACCTGCAGCGCTGTATGGGTGGCAGTGTGTTCGTCTTCCCTCTGTGACCTAAGTTATTCAGTGCTCCTCTCATTGCAGATCACAAACGTGCACAGCAGCCGGGCACTCGACGTTCAGTTTCTGGACTCTGGCAATGCGACATCCGTGAAAGTATCGGAGCTCAGAGAAATCCCCCCTCGGTTCCTGCAGGAAATGCTTGCCATACCCCCTCAGGTATGACCTGCCTCGGCCTGGAGGTCTGCAGAAGAGCTTCCTGCCTGTTGATCCACCCTGCCAGTCCTGATCATGCTCATGAGCAGAGTCTCAGTGTGTAAGAGGATTAGAGAGTGTGAATGTTTACTGATCTTTAGGCGTGAATTTGGCTGAATTAGAGAAATCTGCTCACATTTACAGACCACTGTTTTGTAAACACTTGTTTTCAAGAGTGCCAAGTCAGTAGAGGTTCTGTTGTAACAATCGCACTCCAGTACTGACATCTAGCTAGCCAGCTTCCACACGCTGCCACAGTGGTATATGTAAGTGCTTATTTGGCTCTCCATTCTTTTGGAAATGTGTTTATATATACTCATTTTCCATATGAGAAAGGGGAGTGATTACATCACCCATCGCCTGTCCTCTTAGGGAACATTCGGGTGATAGTTGTGAATCACTATAGACCTTGCTATGGTTAAGAAGCTCTGACAACCTTGAAAAGAAATAAAGGATTTTTTACAGGAATATAATGCATATTCTATTCATTAAATATTATATTCTATTAAATATTTATATAAAGTAATTAGTATATGATACATAAATGATATATAATTAATTATTGTGTTCTATTAAATATTAATGGTCGTAGTCTATTAAATACTTAATATTCTGTTAAAATATTAATAAGCTGAGTATATTGCATATTCTATGAAATGTTTATATATAAATTATCTAAAAATATATAAATACTATGTAAATAAATAATATGATTGAATATTATGTTATATTAAATATTAATTTGCATTAGGCATGATGAGCATACTTCTGTAATCCCAGCACTAGGGAGGTAGAGGCAAAAGGATCAAGAGTTCATAGTCATACTTGGCTACACAGTTAGTTTAAGGTTAGCCTGGATTCCATGAGATCTGGTCTCAGAAAACAGCAAACAGAATGGATGACATAATGCTCCTCTACTGTTTTCTCGAAGTCACCTCCACCTTCAGGACTAGCATAGACAGCATGGTTTGCTGTAACTAGCGTGACTTTTAGCATTTCTCGAGTCTCCATTGCTTTTTCTGACAGACAGTTATAGAGAAGAATGCCTTTTATCCTCTCAGTATGCAGCACAATACTGGAAGTCCACAGCCCTTTGAGAGCTGCTGTTGCGGTGACACAGCTTGGCCTCCATGTCTCCTCATGGCTATGTCCACCTAGGGCCGGATCATAGTGACAAGGTTCCCTGGCTGGAGAGAGGGGCTTCAGGCCTCCGACTGCCTCTCTAAAAGTCACATTGTACTCCCTTCTTTATGCAGTGTTGTATGTAACAGGCATTAAACACCTGTTTATTTCTGTTAATCTTTGCCAGATTCCTTATTTGATAAGTGTGATGACTACTCATTGCAGATCCCCTAAGGCCAGCTTGCCCAGCCTCTAGTTAACATCTATCTCCCCAAGCAAATCCAAAAGGTTGTATTCAGTTCTCAAGTTTAATATATTTTAAACTCAAATAGAGCCAGGTGGTGGTGGCGCACACCTTTAATTCCAGCACTCAGGAAGCAGAGGCAGGCAGATCTCAAGTTAGGATCTTGAGTTCGAGGCCAGCCTGGTCTACAAGAGCTAGTTCCAGGACAGGTTCCAAAGCCACAGAGAAACCCTGTCTCAAAAACAAAACAAAAAAAATTAAACTTTAATAGATTGCCAGGATTTTAAAAAATATTTTTTCTCTCAGTAAAGTGTTTATTTCTAGCATCTATTTTAGTCATTTAGAAAATCTGATTTAGTATGTGCCCTCTTTTGGTGACAAGGCTGCTGAGCCTTTCCTGCCAGCAGAACCTATACTTACCTGTGCACCAGCCCATCAGGCTGCCTCCCTCCCTCATGCCTCTGCCCACAGGCCCTGCAGAGTGCTCTCTCCACTCTGAATGGCCTGGTTATCAGCTGCAGCTTTTCCAGGGACAGAGGCTTAGAGCCTGGGGGAGGGTGCGCACGATGGGGTGGGGAATACAGAGAGAACAAGAGGAATCTGAGGAGGGGGTGTGGGATAGCTTTCATGCCTGTCACAAGATTTTCTCCCATATGGCTGAGAGACTCCCCTTCCTGTGACCTTCTGCAGTAGCTTGGGAAGCCAGGAAGCACCAGGGGAACAGAGGCATTTGGGTACCTACAGATTTAGGTATCTATCCTCTCTTATCCTTGTCTCTGCCTCCTGCAGGAGGTGCTCAGCAGCCATGGGTATCTCAATAGATGCTAAATGAAGTAAATAAGCTTCCTTTGAGACTCTTGCAGTGAAACCAGGTGGTTGCAAGTGTCCCATCTGTTCGACTCTGTGACCTACAGGCTGCTCTATTGAGCTATTTAATCATCTATAAAATGGAGCACAAAATATGGTAGACCAGAAGGATGATGGGGTGACAAGCCCCTTGGCCCCTGGGTGGATTAAAAAAATAAAATAAAAAACCAGTAGAACATAAATAGGTGGCACAGCAGATAGCAGACCAAAACTGTGACTGCTGTTGTCTGCCGCAGCATCTGGCTTTAGGGAGACAGATGCTGCCTGTGATGCCTGTTTTAAGATGGTGTGTTTGCTCCACACTACTTTGTATTTGTTTATTTTCAGGCTATAAAGTGCTGCCTGGCCGATCTTCCGCAGTCCATTGGCATGTGGACCCCAGATGCTGTTCTTTGGTTAAGAGATTCTGTTTTGAATTGCTCGGACTGCAGCATTAAGGTTAGTTATCTCCCGGGGTCTGGGTGTCTGGGGGGAGCCAGAGCTCAGGGTTTGCACCTTCACACCAGACATGTTGTTCTTCAGAGGGGAATTATACATGTAGCGTTAAGATATTTAATGACTAATTTCTATTTAAAGAGTTACCCCCATCTCCTATATTATTTACTCCCTTTCTCCTATTATTAATAAGGTAGCAGAGGTACCTGATTCTCTACTACAGTTTTGCTAAGTGAAAAATAATTAAATTGATTCCAACTTCATGATCATATCTCTGGAAAAATGTATATGACAATAAATAGACTCTCTTTCCCTAAAGAAGAGTGGATTATGAACAGGTCATCCATGCTAACCCTGGGGATTGTGGACAGGTCATCCACTGCTAACCCTGGTGCTTACCCATTTTTTTTCCTGAAGCTTTTTAGCTTGTTGCTTGAATTTCTAGGATGAAAAACATTAGATACTTCTCTTAGCTCTTAAACCCATACAAACGGTATTATTGTATGTAAATGTAGAGCTGAAATCCCTTGAGCAGCTACTTCCCAAAGATCTAAGTCATTTCCCCCAGCTCTGGCCCTCCTGTCCCTGTGCCTGTGGGGTCTATGCTGCTGCTGTGTAACATATGCATTGCATGCTCCACTGCGTGATTATGCCTTGTGTTTGGTCTTCACTTATTACATAATAGTAAGTGTTTTCTCACCTACTCATAAAGACCAAGAGTTGGGTACACAATAAAACTACTACTTGTTTTTCCTTTTGAGGTAGTCTCTTTGTAGCCCTGGCCGGACTGGAACTTGCAAGAATCCTCTTGCCTATGCTCTGAAGTGCTACTGTGATTGACTGATGCCGTCACTCTTAGCTTTAAAAGTATTTTGTAATGGTTAATTTTAATGGTACTTCTGTGTCATAAATACCAAAATGATTTACAGTCAATATTTCAGTAGACATTAAAGGATAAAATTAAATAGATGCATCTCACTGAGAGAACACACTTTTCAAAATCAACTGTCCTAGAGGGGTGCCTTCTTGGCTTCTACCCCTCTTCCTGCCTGTGTTCCTGTTTTCTATTTTGTGTCCTCTTGGTAGATGATAGAGGTAGGCTGAAGTGTCTCGTTTTTGTCCTTTTAAGACATGAAGGAGCTGATGAGAATCACTAAGTCGCCCAGACTCTGAGATACCCATGGTGCTATCCTAATGGCCGCTGCATGGTATTCCCATGTGGACATGCCCTGGCAAAAGGGATGCGTGGGAAGTCAGAAGGTGTCTCCTTTGGTGGATTTGTCCTTCTCTTCTCCCCCACCCCCCGACTTTTCAGTGTAACTGGGGAGGGAAGATGCAGCTACTAGGACCAAACAAAGAAGTAGGACCTGAGGGCCCAGGTAATTGCCATCCTGGAGTCCTCTGCTGTCTAAAAGTGGACTCCTGCTGGATCTTTTGCTATCATCCTGACTCTTATGGCTGAGGATGGCTGGCAAGTGCATGGAAGCTCAGTGTATCGTTCAACTCTAGATTTTGGAATGTCATTAATTTAAAGATTTAATATGCTACATTGTACTTCTCTCCCCCTCAGTGGCAGCAGCCACTTCTTACATTACAGGATTATTTTCCAGTTGTTATTTCCATAAGATTTGCTGGTGTCTTAGAGATGTTTTGCCTCAGTACCCATTAGACTGTGAGAGGTCATTCATCTTACCATAAATTACTGTTCTACAGAATACTCTGCTTTGATATATAAGTTTAATAATATAACTGTTTCTCAGAATTTAGTATCAGCATGGGTTTTCTAAATTTTTTTTTTACATCTTCCAAAGGTTACAAAAGTGGATGAAACCAAGGGGGTCGCATATGTGTACTTATTTACTCCTAAGAACTTCCCCGATCCTCACCGCAGCATTAACCGGCAGATCACAAACGCAGACCTGTGGAAGCATCAGAAAGATGTGTTTCTGAGTGCCGTGTCTGGTGCGGTTAGCTCGCCTGGCAGCAGGAACGGCAACACACCTGCACCGGGCAGCCCTGGAGAGGGTCTCAGAAAGAGCCACCCAGAGGTCATCAGGAAGCCTCTGCTGGACCACACCAGCTCGTTCTCCTTGGAGGAACTGCCCCCTCCAGTCCACTTGTCAAAGTCAGGGGAACACATGGATGTGTATGTGCCCGTGGCCTGTCACCCAGGCCATTTTGTCATCCAGCCTTGGCAGGAGATCCATAAGCTGGAAGTGTTGATGGAAGAGATGATCCTCTACTACAGCGTGTCTGAGGAGCGCCACATAGCGGTGGAGAGAGACCAAGTGTATGCTGCCAAAGTGGAGAATAAGTAGGTCCTGGGCGGGGCCTTTGTTCCTCAGCTAAGAATATGTAGAGTGGTCATGAGGGTCCTTAGTTTCCCCAGGGAGACTTGGCCTTCACAAATGAGAATTTTGAGTGAAATGTGGATTTGATGAGTTGTGCACATTTTTTCATGTTTAAAATGATAACATTTATATAAAACATTTATATATAATAACCGTTTTTTGTTAGTTTTATGCACAAAATGAAGTGTTAGGTGCTTACCCTGTTCTCCTATCAGAGAAAATGTTTTTATTCAAAAAGTAATTCTTGATTTTATTTAATGACTTTTTTAAAATTAAATGTTTATTGTGGAAAACTTAGAGAACAAAAATCTTAAGAAACTGAAACCAGCTTTCCAGACACTATTTGTTAAGCCACTTCTGAAATTGTTCCAGTGTCGTCTGTGAATTTGTATCACTGATAATGCTGTTACAGTGCTGTGCTTGCTCTTTCAAAACTAATATTCTGTACTAAACATTTCTCAGAAACAGCTATGGCTGAGTGATAATCTGTCTCGTGGGGAAAGCATAGTTAGCATTCCCTTTTAGTTCAGTAGGTTCCCAGATCTGTGTGTGTTACAAATGATAATAGGTATTATCAATAATAAACCATTGTTTCCACCTCTGATTATTTAGTAAGAGAGTCTTTGGGAAGAAGCTGACTGTTGAAAGATGCCCAAGTGCCCAGCATGTGCTGTCATTTGTTTCCTGGCACTTGTGGCGCCTTCTTAATGATGACACTCATTGTTTGTTTCACTGCCCCTGGGCCCTCATGGGGTCTGTTTGGGTCCATCCCTCCTTCCCCCAGATCCATCAGGCTGTGTTGGATCTGCTCCAGTGGAGCACAAGCTCCCCACTCATGCCCTGGAGTATTAGGAAACCAAGAGCCGCCTTAGGGAAGACAAGCTTCTTAATGCTGAACACAAATCTCTCTCTCTCTCTCTCTCTCTCTCTCACACACACACACACACACACACACTTTAAAATATCAAACTGCTAAATTTTTACACAAAATAATTTTTTCTTTAAGGTAGTAAACATAGGCATATAGAAAAATGTCATTTTTATGGGAGGAAATAAAGCCAAGTTTTGACTCTTAAAATGTGAAAGTAATGGCGCTCACTTTGAAAATCACGAGCCTGCGTCATCCTGAAGCTTGACCCGGCTTGACTCAATTCATTCACCTCTGTCTCAACAAGGACTCCTAACAGAATAATTTATAGTCAGAACCGCCCTTGTGTTAGCTGTCGTGGGGGAGGGGGATGATTAGTGTTGGGAAGGCCTGCCTTGGGGGAGGGGATTATCTCCCCACTTGCCCCCAGCTGTGCCTGTTGGCAACTCTGTCCCAGGACTTGTGGTCTTTAGCCAGATAAATGTTCAGGGATAATAGATATTTTATAGTAAGAATCTGTTTTTGTAAGTACCATGAGTTAATCAGTGTTAAGTGTTTAAAGCTTCTAAAGACTGGGACTACTGAATCTTATTCCCAACTATAAACTAACACATAGGAATTTGACACTTTTTTAAAATAGTCATGGTCTCCAAATCTCTTAAAGAGAAGCACCTGAAAATAACATTAAAAGCCCCGATTCTCCTTTCTCACCCAGCCTGATTCTAAACCTGGGGGAAAGGCCCAGCATCTGTGTTTTTAACACTGGGACATGTTTGCTCTGAAATTGATGTCTAGTCCAAACCAAGCTTTTGTGTAAGCTCCTGGCTTCAGAGTTCAGCTCCTCAGAAACACCCCCACTTCCTGCCTGAACCTTTTCCTGGTCTGTAGTCAGTGGACTGGGAGCACTGACCACCATCGTTTGTCCCCTGTGGCCTAAAGATGATGCTGTTGGCGGAAGCCACATGTATTTCTTGGACCCCTTCTGTCTCTTACCACAGATGGGCTGCCTGGCATTACCACCAGGAAATGCCCCCTCCAGTCAGCTCTGCAGTTTTCCTTCAGCTTATCTTCAGATAGTGGCTGTCACTTGCTGAGTGTCTGTTGTAATGTCAAGTATTGAGCTAGATGCTTCCAACCAAAAAAAAAAGTTATACATGAGTAACCGAGGCTCAGGCAGGAGTGACGCCACATCAGGACAATGGGCCAGGGGTTTCCATTAAGGTGTGCTTGGCTTCCCAACCCCAGGTACTTATTATGAATCCTTTCTGGGTCCCAGTTATTGAGGCTGGTGCAGTCTTACCTTCTGCATCTTGAGTCTGCCCCCAACTGGCCTCATCGTAGGCTACTAGCTGTGTTTTCACCTTGGGGCTGCTGTAAGCAGAGAATGCCTGGTCCTGCCACCAGAGGGCAAGTCCAGTAGGTGGTTCAGTTGCTAAGACATCTGTAGATGCTTTGCCTTGAGCTGTGATGGAACTGCCCTCTTCCTACGGTTGAGATCGTTGACTTTAGACTGGTCCTTCATAGGTTCGCCTTGAAGTCTGTTTTGTTTTGTTTTGTTTTGTTTTTATCATTTTAACTACTGACCCAGACCCAGTGAAGAAAAACACACTCATGTGAATTTCTGGTGCTTTTAGCCAAACTAAGTGCCCCACTGCCCTTTGCAGGTTGTTTATTTTAGGGGCAAGCTGGGTTTTGTGGGGTTGTTTGATTTTTAACATTTTTTTTTGCATGGGATAATTCAAATAATCAATTTTTCTTTTCATTTAATTAAAAAAATATTTAAAAAGTTAAGTGCATGCATGTTTTACCTGCATATATATCTGTGCCTACAGAGACCAGAGAGGGCATTGGGTCCCCTGGAACTGAAGTTACAGACAGGTGTGAGCTGCCATGTGGGTGCTGGGAGTTGGACCCGAATCCTTTGGGAGAGCCCCTGGTGCCTCAAATTTTTTCGTTTTAAACAGAGCAAACATACATTTGTTGAGGATAAGAGAGAACTGAGAATGGGAGGGGACCCAAGGGAGAAACACCCTAAAATAGCCTTTGTTCAAAACTTTGAATCCCTCCCCAGCCTGCCGCCGAGTCCTCTATGCCTGCATCATCCCTTACTGGAGCCTCATGGGGTATTTTCTCTCCAACCCCTACGTCTTCTCAGCTCCGCTCTGTTCTCGCCTCAGGCAGCTCTCGGGCTTCTACTCATCCCGCCTGCATCTTCCTTTCCCTCTTGCAGACACGGATCATGTACAAATGTGGCCATCTTGTGTGTCTCCAGGATGAAGGGATCCCTTGCCTTGTCCCGACCAGCCCCATGGTATCTGTTTCAGCCTATGGATGATTGACAGTGCAAGAGTCACTGGCCCACCCCCCATGAGGCCTGTAAACCTCAGAATGAGTGGCCTGTCAAAGGACTAGCACAGCGGCAGTGGTAACCTCTGAAGAAAGCAGCCACAGTTGCTTGCAAGCTCCCATGACTGATTTTTCTATGTACCCTGTAATGCTTGCTTCTCTTTGGAATGGGTGTTGACTTCGGCCGTTTTTCTTTTCAATCCAATGTGCTTCCAGGTGGTACCGGGTGCTATTAAAAGGAATCCTGACCAATGGGCTGGTGTCTGTGTATGAGCTGGACTACGGCAAGCATGAGCTAGTCAACATAAGGAAAGTGCAGCCCCTAGTGGATGTGTTCCGGAAGCTGCCATTCCAGGCGGTCACCGCTCAGCTTGCAGGTAATTCTGCAGTGTGACTCTGCTGTAGTGGAGTTTAAACCCTCCTCTATTCTAGGTTCTTAACAAGTGCAGGATCACTAGTTAGCCTTCTGCATGTTGTTTTAGCTTTTTAGTGCTAGTACCATCCTGCCCGTGGTGGAAGTCATCTTAATGCTTCTGACTCTGATTACATGCCTGATAATATTTCTAAAGCTGCAGTCCAGGGACAGCTACAGGGTTGCCTCCTGGTTTTCCTCATTTACAGTTTTCCCATTTGGGGTAATATAATGTCCTAGATGGGCTAGTTGTCACCCACCCACCCCCCAGAGTTGTAGCTTGAACCCAGCATCTCATTTGTACCAATGTCAAGCACAGGTCTGTAGCTGAGCTATACCCCTAGCCTCTGTTAATTATTTTAATGGGTGTAAAGCACTCCATTGAGTCAGAATTTCCCTGTAAACAGTATTTAAACAGTATTTCCTGTGGACAGTAATGAAAACAAGCAAAAAAGCAGTGGAAACTTAGAACCTAAATAACCAAGAAGTAGAAAGTGTAATTGTTTATGCCAAAGTTACTGCATAAACTATAGGTGTTCACAGTGGAACATTACACAATCACAAAACATAGGGACAAATGACTTTCCTGTTTGCATCACAACACAGCTTACAAATACATAACTTTACCATGTATTGACATTTGGCATGCTTATTTAGTAGCTGTACAGTGACACACTCTGTAGTGTTGTCTAATGAGATCTTCCATGTTCTTCTGAGAAGCAGTTCAGATGTGACTCCCCTGTAAGCAGCTGCTGGGGCCCCTTAGTTTGAGCAGAGGGCCTGGAGGCCAGCAAGACACCTGGGCTCCCCTGGGCTCTCTATACCCTGCCTTCTGTAGCTATCCTCTGTGCTGGGATATTTGTCCCTGTGCAGACAAGGGCATGTATGAATTCTTTGCTGCTGTCCAGCTGCTGGTGGGAGGCTGGGCAGGTCTCATTGTGAAATACTTGCCATTCTCTCGGCCTTACTACTAGGGCTCAAAGCAGCTTCCCGTGATGATTGAAGATAAATCAAAACCAGTGCTTTATGTGTAGGGTGGCCTCTAGTCAGTCTGCTTTGGACTTACAATTTTCGTTGGCTTCTTTAGACTTACTGTTTACTTTTTCTTCATTTCCACTTTGAACGCCCAAGTTTAGCCAATAGCACATTTTGTCAAATACAGCCTCTCACTGCCAAGAGAACTCTCTGAGGGATGAGCACCTAGTGTCCCCGCCACCCAGCAGGGCCTCCAGCTGCCCTCTGAGGGCTTTCTGTAGTCTAACCCACGGTGCTGTGAATGTTTCCCTAAACGCTGCGCTTGCTGTGCACCACACCTTCCATGTGCAGAGTTTTCATTTTCATTTAGCTCAGAATATTTTTAACTCCCTTTAGGGGTTTCTTCTTGGCCTGTATGTCCATTGGAATCATGTTCTTCCTTCTTGATATTGTGGGATTTTCCCTGTTAGCCTTCTGTTGAATTCCTTTGTGGTTTTTATTGTTTTGAACTGTTCCAGTGTGTTTGATGTCCCAGAATATGACCCCATGGAAAGCTTGAGGATTATAATCTGCTGCTACTGGATGAAGTGGCCTGTGGATGTCGCTTACATCCAGTACTATAGTGCTGAGTTCAGTGTGTCCTGCTGGGTCTGTATGCCTCCTCACATCCTCTCTCTGTCTCTGTCTCTCTCTCTGTCTCTGTCTCTCTCTCTCTCTCTGTCTCTCTGTCTCTCTGTCTCTCTCTCTCTGTGTGTGTGTGTGTGTGTGTGTGTGTGTGTGTGTGTGTGTGTGTTTGTACATGGGGGAGCGGGGACTGTGTGGTGAATATGCATATGTTGTGAGCAGTGTGTGTGATTGTGTGGTATGTATGTGCATATGCATGTATGTGTGTTTACAGGTAGAACAGGGGCTGGTGCCATACCAGTTGGTGCTTATTGGACAGCAGAGGTCAGTGTCAGCCATCCTCCTGTTTTGCTCCGGCCTTGGTGTCTGGAGTCAAGGCCTTTCCACTGGATGTAAAGTTCAGCAAGCCCCAGGGTCCTCCTGTCCCTCCCTCCCAGCGCTGGAATCACTGGCTTGCTTCATCGTGAGTGCCTGCGATTCAAATCCTTGTGCTTCCATGTCACCTGCTGAGCCACCTCCCTAGCCCAGGTTGGCTGTTCCTAGCAGGGACTGCAAAGTCTCAGCAGCAATGGTGGGTTCATCTGTTTCTTCCTGCATTGCAGCTCTAGTCAGTTTTGCCTGGAGTGAGGTGTGATATTGGGTATATCCACATTAAGGGTCTTTGATTCTTTCTGGAAAAGGAGCCTTTGCCACTGCATTATTGTCCTCTGTCCCTGATAACTTTTCTCACACTGAATCTGCTCTTTCTCAAATGAATGTCCCTGCATGATCATTGTCATATGTCCCTGCATGACATAACTTGCTCCATCCCAGTACCTGTGTTTTGTGTGTCTTTCAGTTAAGTTTCTGTTACATGCATATAACTTGGTCTTGCTTTTTTATATACTCTGATCATCTCTTTTAAGTCATGTGCTTAGACCAATGATGTTTAAAGTGATTGTTAAGGACTAGGAAGGTAGGTCAGTTGGTAAAGTGTTTGCTGTCAGCACAAGTTTGATCTCCAAAACTCGTGTAAGAACATCTAGACTTGGTGGCTCCTTCGTTGTAACCCCAGCATTGAGGTAGAGATCATGAAGGTTCCTGGCCAGTTAGCTCAGCACACTCAGCAAGTTTCAAGCCAATGAGAAACCTTGTCTCAAAGAAATAAGAGCTAGGTGGCTTCTGAGGAACAGTACCCAAAGTTGTACCCTCTGACCTCCACGTTAACAGTCGCACCTACATTTACATGGGTACCCATACATACAGTGTCATTATCAATATAGCCAGATTAATGGCCACCACATTTATTAGTTTTCTAATTACTTTGTTCATCATTCTTATTTTTGCCTCCCACACTCTGTCTGTCTGTGTGTTTTGAGACAAGGTCGCCCATAACCCATGTTGACCTCAAAGTCATTATGTAGCCCAGGCTGATCTTGAACTCCTGATAGTCTTGTCTTCAGATTCCCAGTGCTGGGATTGCCAGTGCATACCTCCATGCCTAGCTGGCTTCTGGGCTTTAGTTAAGCATTTTATAGGTGTCCATCTTCTTGCTTTAACACATCAATTTTATTTCCTTTTCTAAAGACTGGCTTTAGCCTGGGAGGTAGTTCAGTAGATAACGTACTTCCGTACAAGCCTGGGGACTCAAGTTCAGTTCCTAGAACTCACATAAAGGCCTGGTAGGCTTGACGGCCCACCTGTGGTCCCAGAACTTCAGAAAGAGACAGGGAATCCTGGGTAACTCATCTAATGGGGATCAGTAGACTTTCGGTTCAGTGAGAGACTCTGGTGCAGGGAACAGGATGGCAAATGGCAGAGGAGACGACTCATGTGAACTTTTGGCCTCTACATTTATATACATGCATGTTTGTGCATCTATATACAAGAGAAAAGGAGGACCTTGTCAGTGGTTGCCCTGGGATCTGTCACCTACATTTACAGCTACTGTGTGTGTGTGTGTGTGTGTGTGTGTGTGTGTGTATGTGTGTTGAGATAGGATCTCATTTGTAGCCCACGCTACCCTTGAACTCACTGTGCAGCTGAGGATAACCTTGAACTCCTTTAATCCTTAATCCTCTTCCCTTTACCTCCCAAGTACAAGATGTGTGTGTGTGTGTGTGTGTGTGTGTGTGTGTGTGTATGTGTGTATGTATGTGTATGCACATGCACATATGTGTCCATGCACATGTATGCATTGTCAGCCAGAAGACAATGTCAGGTGTCTTCCTCAAAAGACTCAATGAAGTCACTCTCCACCTTGTCTTTTAAGATGAGCTCTCAATGAACCTAGAGCTGAGTGACTCTGCTAGGCTGGTAGGCAGCAAGCTCCAAGGATCCGTCCACCTGCCTTTTATCTCCCCAGTATTGGGTTATACAGTGTACCCCCACACCTGGCTTTCACATCAGGGCTGCGAGTACAGACTCAGGTTCTCGTTCATGTGTGGTAGGTTCTTTACCAACTAAGCTGTCTCCCCAGCATTCAAGGCTAATTTTAAATAATGATATTCTCCTTCACAGTTAGTACTAATACCTTACAAACTTCATAAAACAAAATAATCTTATAGCAAAATTCTTTCTTCCTTCTCCCCATGTATTAATGCAGCCATTTGTTTTGCTTATAATCAGTTTGATGGTAGTAATTGGAGCACACTATTACTTACCACTGGATCAGTTACATGTAAGAGTAGCCAGCCCAGCAGGGCACCAGGGAGGCTGAGGCAGGAGGACTGTGAGTCTAAAGCCAACCTGGGTTGCATAGAGAGACATAGTCTGACAAACAGACAAACAAAAGAATGCATTTGCCTCCTGATGCTTTTCCTGTCTTAGCTTAGACCTGTTTCATTTTCTTTCTCTCTGAAGGTCTTTCCTCATTCCTTCTGAAACAGCCTGCTCACAGCAGACTTCACCAGTTTTTCTATGTCCAAGAGTCCCTTTCTCCTTCTCCTCTTTTGTTTTTCTTTTCTTCTCTCCCTCCATGCCCTCCCCCAGGAGCCTTGCATGCCTGGGAAATGCTGTCAGGCCTGCTCCTGCCCTTGGAGGGCCAGGGCCACCTGAGCAGGGTGTGCAGTTGTAAGGGGTGAGCTGCTCCGCCTCGCAGCACTTCATTCTCTTTGCTCCTGTGGCTTCTGGTGTCGGGTGTAAGTCTGGTCTTTGTACCTGAGCTGCTCTCCCTCCTTGGCTCCTTTCACAGCTTTACTGGTCGGATGTGGTGTGTGCAGCGATGTGTTTACCATCTTTGTGTTTGGTGTGACCCTGATTTGAGGTTGTCATTCCTGCTCAGGAGCTGCTTTTGTCCCCTGTCTTCTCCTGGTTCCCACTACACTCATCTCCACACCTTCCTAGCTGTCCCAGTTCTTAGCAGTTCCATGCTGGGTCTCCTTTCCAGCCATCTCGTTGCTTCAGTTTCTGAAGCTTCTGCTGCCACATCCTGGATGTCAAAGTTCCTTGACCCTATGGAGCTGAGCTCAGCATGAGTTCTTTTCTCTTTCAGTGTTTTCCTTGTTCCCAGCATTCTCTCTCTTTCTCCCCTCCCTTACCCATCCATCTCTCTTCCTCTCTCCCTCCCTCCTTCCTCTTTTTCATATTTTTAAATTTTCCATATTTCTGCGGAAATTATGCATTTTCTCCTTTTCATGCCTAGGATGGACCCCAGACCCCAGGGATGCTGAACAAACCCTTCTCCACTGTGGTACCTCAGCAGCACCATCCTGTTCTTAAATATAGCCTGTCTCCTCCGCTGAAACTCTGAGTTGTCACTCAGACTTCTTTAAATTCCTGGTCTTGATTCTCCAGCATTCCTGCCATACTGACTGATTCTGAGGGTGGTTCAGTCTCTTCAGACTGTAGGCTTGGCCTTTAGTGTCACATGTTTTTTTGGAGGTGAACATGATGCCTGGGTAAAAGGCATTTCCTGTTACCCTCAGTGGTGTATTGTTAGGTGTTTGGGACTGGGGGTGTCTGTAGTCTCATAATCAGGGACCACATGAGTCTGGTGTGAACTTTCTTAACTGTCCAGAGTCCCTCTTGAGGGGAGCAGGATGGCTGTGGGCAGGAGGGGGCTGTGTAAGAGCTGAGCATCTGGGTCCTTGGGCTCAGATGAAGTATTGTGCCCTTTTTTATGACTCTCAATGTTGTAAAACAAAATGCACACAGCTCATCCACCCAGTCTTTTTTGTTAACTTACTTTTAACCTGTTTTGGTGGGGAAACCATTCTGAGAAATGTCATCAGTGTTGGTACTGACACTGCTCCCTCCGGCTATCTCGATTTTGCCAATCTACACTTTAGGTATAGGAAGTGGAAGTGGTCATCACTATATCCCTTGGTAAACAGCATGGAGTCACTTCTGTCAGGGCTTACAGAAGTGTCTCCATTCAGGAAAGAAGAGTTGTAAGCCAGGGAACATGGATCAGCTGTTTTTCTGACATAGGCAGGTCTAACCTGAAACTACTTTGAACTCACTAGATAGTTCTCCCTCCTGTTGGCTCAGGGAAAGGCAAGAGTGACCACTCACTGCCCCCCCTCGCTCCCTGTCTTTCTCCTAGGAGTGAAGTGCAGCCAGTGGTCGGAGGAGGCTTCGATGGTGTTCCGAAATCATGTGGAGAAGAAACCCCTGGTGGCATTGGTACAGACAGTTATTGAACACACTAACCCTTGGGACCGGAAAGTAGTGGTCTATCTAGTAGACACATCGCTGCCAGACACTGACACCTGGATTCATGACTTTATGTCACAGTATCTGGTGGAGCTGTCAAAAGTTAATTAATCACTGCTTGAGACCCCAACAGCTAATGCAGATTGTTCTCTAAGCAATAACAAATGTGTAGTAGGCTCTCAGAACATCTTATTTTTACTACATGGCTCTGACTGTTGTGGAGGATTGAAAAGTATATGCTTTGTTTGATGAAAGATATTTAACAAGTTTTGTTTAACACAGTTAACTTTTCAAAGAAAATTGCACTTGAATTATTAATATAATATTAGAATAAAATGTTTAGCAATGTAAAACCTGATGTCTTAGTTTGCTTTCTAGTGCTGTGATAACCACCATGGCTAAAAGAAACTTAGGGAGAAAGAGTTTGCTTGACTTACAGATTACTGTCCATCATCAGGGGAAGCCCAGGAAAGGACTCAAGCAGGAGCTAAAGCAGAGGCCATGGAGAAGCACTGCGTCCTGGCTTGTCCCCATTGCTTCCTTAGTCTGTATTTTTATCCCAGGACCACAGACCCAGGGATGTCCCTGCCCACAGTGAACTTCGCTCTCCTACATCAGTCCTTAATCAAGAAGATGCTCTATAGACTTGCCTAGAGGCCAGTCTGATGGAGACATTTTCTCCATTGTGGCACCTACTTTCAGATGGCGTTGTGTCAAATTGGCACACTAACCAGCACAGCTGACTGACTACCTTGCAGTCGCTAAGTATTCTGATTCTAAGGTGAAAGCATCCATTGCCATTGATGTCTGCATTGGAGTGTTGGGGTCTTCATCAGGAAATCGAGAATATAATGAATATAATATAGTGACTCTGCTCCACCCTGGTGTTGTGATGGATCCTAAAGCAGATTGCCCTAAATGTCTGTACATCAGTGCTGATACAGGAACAGCCAAGCACAACAGTCTACACGTTGCCAAATTGTAAAAAAAAATAGACTTTCATGTGTGTGCACATGCACACATGTCACAGCACACATGGAATCAGGACAACTTGGGAGTGGGTTCTTGTTCCTCCCGTGGTGTTCAGGAATTGAAATCAGCTCATCAGTTTGGCAATACATGCCTTTACCTGATTAGCAATCTCAGGCTCTCTCTGATCTCCCTCCCCAGCCCTGCCTTCTGCACCTGTGTCCAGCCACATGGACCTTTATTGGGAGCCTGGGCCCCACTTTTACCTCCATCCAAGACTACTGACATTTCAAACGAGACTCATTTCCTTCTAAACTCTCAGCCTGCAGTTTGGCTCATTCTGCCCTAGCAGTTTCCACACTGGTGCCCCTCTGGCCTCCCAGGCCGGCTGTGAAACCTTCCCCGGTGCCTCCCCTTCTACTTCTCTGTACTTTGTTCTTGGGTTTTGTTTGGTTTTGTCTCAAAAAAAAGTTCTTGCTATGTAGTCCAGGCTAGCTTCAAACTTGAGGTCCTTCTGCTTCCGAAGCACTGGGACTGTACCAGGACTAGCTCTCCAGTGTAGTTGGAGCATACCTCTCCTGATGCTCTAGTCTCACTGTATCTGACAGTGAACAGACGTCAGTTTGTCTGTCTGTCATATCAGAGACAGACCCTAGTCATTCTTTTACCCAGTAGCACACCATGGGTAGTAAACAGCCATCTCTCATGGGTGGGCGAGCCTTGAATTGTACTGCCTGACAATATGTCTGCAGTCCACATCCCATCTTGGCTGATGGCTGGCTAACCACATGAAGTCACTGCCTGTACCATTTCAGCTTTGTAAGTGTCACGTGATCACTTCCTGCATCACCTGCATAGACAAATGACGCTGTGCAGGTCAGCACATGCTGGCTAATTTGTGGACAGACAAATGGGCAGATGGATGGATGGTAAGCTTTAGCTGTGGGTACGAAGAGGTGGAGAAGCCCCAGACAAAAGGCAAAAAAAAAAAAAAAGATAAAGAAACACACTGAAGACATCCTGACATTCTTAATTAGAATATTAGGACAGACAGCTAGGTACAGCAGGCAGGGGAGCAATCCAAGCCAAGTGAATGGATGGTGGCCCTTATGCAGTGTGAGCAGAAGGTCTCTGTTGTGGTTGAGCACAGTGTGTTTGAGCAGTAGACTGCTGGGGAGGTGCTCCTGGGCTGTGGGCATGTGACATGAGTGGACTTCAGGAAGAAGTCCAGGCTGGAGGCAAACATTCTTAAGGCTATTTGTTTTGAGTTGAGGAAATGTAGGGAAAACAATAATAGAAGAAGAAAAGACCAGGTTGTAAAAGGTTTTCATCTTAAACATGTAAAATGTATTCTAGTTTTAAGAGAAAATGTGTATTTAAATCTGTCACAAATACATATGCCAATGACTAATTGATTATGAAATAAAAATTCTTCCAAAATCGCAAGATTTAAGAATAATTCCACCAATGATTAGAGTAATTATTTATGGTGAAATAAAAAATTTGTACAGAACATAAATGTTTAAGTGAATTAAGACCGTGTTAATGTTTTTCATAGTGATCTCTTTCTGACAACAAGGGCACAAATCCTTGAATTGTGTGCTGCCAAAGGAAAACTTTTCTATTTCATTGACTTAAGAAATATTTCCATTCTTAAAGAAAGCAATCATGTTCATTGGTGTAAAGATACAATTTGTGATGTGGGGTAGCTTGACACATGGATGAATTTGGTCCCTGCCCTGGACTGCTGAAGTCCAGAGTCAGTTCCAGGTGGAGTGTGAGTGTGAGAGACTAAGACGGGAAGTAACTCAGAACACCCTTACTATGAGAGTCGCTAAGCAGGACACAGCTGCCCTCAAAAGGTAAAGAGGGCGAAGGGCAGAGTGCACAGATATATGCTGTTACATATGTGGTACCTGTAACCAAACAGTGTTGACATATTGAATATGTTCAATAAAAGTGGACAAGAAATTTGAACAAACATTTCCTAATAAAATCTAGCTGGCCAATAAACGAAAAGCTGTCCACACATGTGGACCTGGGGCAATGCAGATCAGAATCTCAATGGATGCCATTACTCTCTCCCAGAGTGGCTACAACGTGGCAAGCAGTTCTCGGTAAACTTAAAGTAGGGTAGAGCCCAGTGCTTATCTCTCCTACAGCTGAGCAAGGGCACCCTCTGACCCTGCACTTCCCGCAGCCAGGTGTGTACCTGTTCAGGACCCTGAAAGTGATCTCAGCCACACTATTATCCGAATACAACCTTTTAAAATAGGGTGTGTTCCTATGAAAATACCGTATTTATTATGTTCATTTGGCACATTCACTCCATATGAAGCCTCTAAATTGAACAGCGAGAAAGAACAGTGCAACAGAGAATAGCCTCATTATTGAGCGAGAGTCACTAACCGGTCAGTAAGGGAGGGTCCGTAAGCAAGCACGGGGGTGGGCACAGACTAGCGGTTGGCTTGCACAGGTTTTCTCACTGTAAACATTCAGGAAGCTACACACTAAGGTGTGCCCTGAAAATGTTTATAACTACAACAAAAATCTTAAACATAAGTTATTGGAAATGAGTCCCTGCCTTGTATAAAGATAAAGGCTACTTAGCCCCTGAAAGGAGCACTCTTAATGGTGTATTGTAGGCTTTATAATACAAAAACATGCTTTGGGAAATACTTTTAGTACGCTCCAGCATTTCTCTTCGGGCATCTACAGCAGAATTAGGGTTTCCCTCACCAAATACATTGGACTAGTCCAGCTGAGACATTTCCCTGTGTCCCTGTGTCTGTTTGGATTCTTTGGTATGAACCATTTGGTTTTTTTTTTTTTTTTTTTTTTGAAACACTTAGGGTTTGGGTGTAAGTGGTTTGTTCTGGAGAACACATTAGCCTTTTAAGAAAGCAGAGCTTTCGTTCCGGTTGTTTTAAGTGGTGATTTCAGACGCTTCATTCTCTCAGCGCTGTGTGGGAGAAGGCGTTCGATTCTGCGTTGAAATTGTGCATCCACAGATGATGGTTATTAAAACCTGGGCGCGTGCCAAACCTGGCCAACCTACTGGTGAGAGAGGACAGGTTGCCTCTTCAAAGGAAGCAAGGTGTACCCGGGTTTTATTTTATTGGAACATTCTAGACCCCGTGAGAATAAAGATCTCCCCATCTTTGTCCAGATACCTCCAACGTTGCTTAAAATCTTCCCGAGAGAAGTTGCGGAAACCGAGACCAAGTTAGGGAACGACACATTCACCTGGCTCCGGACTTAGGGTGGCCCTGCCGGTGGTCTGCGATTCTCCCAGCGAGTGCCGCTCCCAGAGACCTTGCTGCCCCAGGGCCCCCCTGGTGGAGCGGGAGGGCGGGGAGGGCGGAGGGGTGGGGCGGGGCGCGGTGACAGTCGAACAAGTCCCGCCCCCGGCTCCCACCCGCGGCCGCCAGGGAACTCGCCCAGGCCCGGGTTCCGCTCCTTGCCACCGCCCGCGCTCGTGCCGCCTCGCATCTCGGTAAGACCCCAGCCCGCCAGCCCTAGGTCCCTCTCGGCCTCGCGGGGCTCCCTGCCGCCGCACCGGGGCGCAGCCATATCTGGGCAAAATATTCAGCTGTCGCCAGCGCCGAGAAGGGACTTGAGTGCGATTCCCTCTATAAATAGCCACCGCCTCGGGTGGCCTTCAGGGGGTCCGGTTCCCCAGTTTGGCGACCGAGTTGCTGGCCCTCGAGTCCCGGCAACCTCGCGCGCGCCGTCCTGATCAGGATGCCCGGGCTGTAGACCTGGTCGCCGAGGGACCTTGGGAGCCGCCCGGGGCGCCCCCCGCGGGCATCGGCACGGTGCGAAACTGGGCACGAGCCCGCCTGGGAATCTGGGGAGGAAGGGAGTCCGCGCTCGGGGGACGCTGAGCCCTGACCGCGCACCGATCTGGCGCGTGCGAGAAAAGTTTCCCAAACTGCTGGAGCTAGCGAGGTTTAAGGCACCAGCGGTACTTGCTTTGCGCAGCCAGGTGGGACGGAAAAAGCCTAGAGGCTGGAGGCTGGTGGACACTGACTGTTGCCAACTCGGGGATGGCCTAGGCAATCCTGTTTTTTTTTTTCCCCTCTGGACCTCGATTTCCCATTTGTAGACTAAAGTTAGGGTCCTTCGAGGGGATGGGACCCGAGGCCAGGAGATCTGCCAGGCTTGCTCTGAACCGCCCAGTTTCTGCACCTGTTCTCCAGTTTCAGGCTAGGGATGCTGGGACACAGCTGCAGAAGTCAGGGACTTTGGTGACTCTTGGAACCCAGGTCCTGGCTAAGGACCCACTAGGGCCCTCAGAATAGCCTGGGAAGTGTGCCTGGGGTGCTTGGGGACATCTCTAGCCTGAGGAGCTTGGCAAAACAAGTGACCAAATGAACTGGGCAGCCTGGGGGGAATTCAGTTCCCTGACTATATGGCACCTGTGATACTGCCTTAACCATGCAGCCCTGTTCTCGCCTTAGTTCCCCTCCCTCAGCTGGTGCTCAACTTCCCCGGTGAGTCCTGAAGATCACCTGGACCCAACAGAGCCAGAACCTAAACCCAGATCCTGGTTCCGGGGGGAGGGACACCCATAAAGCTGATCTTTCTGCCTAGGTCACCACCCACTGTATGCCTGCTCAAGGTCATGCATACCCGGCTGCAGAGGGCCTGTCTTTCCCTGACTGATCTGAGCACCTCTGTTGATGGCTGGGACTTTCCCAGGCTGGAGTAATAGTGTGAAGGTTCTCTCTAGTACTAGATTTGGAGATTCCTCGGGTTTCTCTAGGCTATCTCTGTGCTTCACAGATAAAGGAGGGAAGGGGGAGGCGAGCCAAAGGAAGGTTCCCACTGACTCAAACCTCACAGCAAGCCAGCAGTGAAGACAAGGGACCTGTCACTCTGGCATCTTATCTCTAATGAGCTAGTCTCACAGTCCACGGTTTAGACAGCTTTTGGCCCTTGGGTGCCTAGCATCCTAAGTGGGAAGCTAAAGTCCTCTAAAAATAGCCTCGGCCCACCTTATCAGAGTCTCACACCTTCTCCCTCCTCTTGGGCAGGGCTGTTTGCTGCAACTTAACTGCAGAAAGCAGGGACTAGGCGGTGTCAGCTCTAAGTAATAAAGGGGGATTGGCCTGGAGCTTAGGGCCCTGGCTCCAGTCCCAGCTTTGTTACCCACCCAGCACGACCTTGAGAAATGACCTGGTGGACAAGATGGTCTTCAGTGGAGCAGACGCCCTCTAGCTTGCAGGGAGATCTGGCACCCATCCTGTGATGAGGACCCAGGGGTCGGGGGGGAAAGTGACTTCCCAGGAGCTAAGTGGAGATGTGGACAATGACAGTTACTACACCGGGACAGAGTATTTGAGAAGTGGGGAGAAGCCATCAGAATTAGGAGCGGACTCAGGGAACTTAGCAGCAACATGGCAGAGCCTTTAAGAATAGGATCTGTTGGTGGCCCAACTTGTCTCACCTCAGTTTCCCCTGTGTGCAGCAGGGCTAACAATAGTAACCACTTCATTCAGGCTGTGGAAGGGAGTGATGGCGGGCGGGCAAGCCCTGAGCTTAGAACCAGCCTTGGGAAGATGTGCTCAGTGAGGCTGAGGCAGGAGCTTAAGTCAAGACAGCTTCCAGCACTTCCTCAAAGCTCGGGTAGGAAGAGAGAGGTGATGGACGGTGATAGAAGCTGGGGCGGGGGGAGGCCCGTGTTTATGAGATGGTAAGTGTGGTAAGAGGTAGGAGAAAATCCAGGATCGAGGTCCTCATGTCACTAGGTCTACATGTGGCTTTTGACCCTTGGGACTTTACTGAGCAAAAAGAGGGCAAAGTGACACACGTCCCTTGTGCCCTGACTGACTTCAGTATCTGTAAAGGAAGGTGGCAGCGAGCCATGAAGGGTGAGTTGACCCTGCTGCAGGGGCCTCGTGACCCTGGCTTGCTTCTTTCAGGGTGACGTCATCTATTGATGACTTCTGCTGAGCCCAGTCATATGGCTTTTTCCGGACAGTGTTTTGATTTTTCAGTCTTACTAATGGACCAGCCCAGGCTGCCAACATTTCTAAAGAGGCCAGTTCACTTTCCCTCCGAGCCAGAACACCGGATAGATCAATTATTTGGCTACCAGGAGCCATTATCAGTTTAAAGCCAGGGGCCTGCTTCTTGGGATTAACGAGTTCAATCACGCAGCATTGGAGCCATCTCCCTTTCCGTCTGTTTTGTAACGTCCTCGGGTTTATTATTGATGCTAACAGACTCCCAGTTGCTCTTAATGATAATGAAGAATGAGCTCACTGGAATCAACCTAGAACATGGTCTGGAATCTTCTGGGCTGAGGCGCTGGGTTCTTGCCTGCTAGGAAAGCAGAACAAAGTCAAGCATTTATCTTGTCCCTTTTGTGTGTCGTTTCATGGTGATAAACTTTGAAGGCTCAAGATTGCAGTGCCCAGGAAGGTAGGAAGGTAGGAAGGAGGGGGAGGAGGAGGAGGAGGCAGGTCCCGCCCCTATGGCCCTTTCTCTTTATGCACCCAGGGTCCCCAGCCCTAGCTGCCTTCATTCTGGATTAGTAGAGTAGTACCACAAGACTGTTTCTAGAAATGTCTGTAGTGGATGGTGACAGTGGTCATTGGACATTTCCTCCCGGGCCCAGACGAGCCAAGGAAAGCAGAGGCACCTTGCGACCTCACTCCCCCTTCTTCACGGACTCATCTTCCGCCTGACCTTTCAGTGCTGCTACCTCTAGTGGCCTGTCACCCGCCTCTCTCACACCTCCTTACCTGTCTGACAAGTTCTCGTGTCCAGTCTGGACAGCTCTCCTTAGCCCCAGGCTCCTGCATACTGGACAAAGTATGCAGCTCGAAAGACCCAGCTCTCCCTGTGTTCTCATCTTGATCACCAGTGACCCGGTCCACCAGGGTACCAAGCCAGAGCCTCCCTCCCCTTCGCTGTCCCTTCACATGGTCACCCAGTCAGCTCTATGTTTCTCAAGTTCCTATCCGTTCTTAGGTCCACGTGCGCCATTCCGGTCAAGCACTTGGGACTCTTCACCCCAGGTTCTTGGTGGAGTCTCTTCAAAGGGACCACACTGCTCCTCACAGGGTTTCCCAAAGCAGAGCTATGGTCTTTTCAACGCTTTTTTTGGGGGGATGGGGGGGGGAGGATGACTCCTCATTCCCTATTGAAGTCCAGAGATTCCTTAACATTGAGCAGGGTCTGGTCGCAAGGGTACTTTGAAATCCCTGCTAGACCTGTCCCAGATTCTAGGAAACTTCCCCATGGTCAGAAATATGCCAACATTGTGTGTCTCCTGCCTTTGCCTGGCTCCTCCCTCTGTTTGGGATGCTGCTGTCCCTGTACTCAGCCAAGGAGCCTGAAAACATCCTTTAAATCCCAGGCCCTTGGTTTCTCATCCATTCTCCCCTTTAACTCCCAGAGCATCTGCACAGGGTGCTCAAACTGAACCCAACTGCTGCCTTCTGGCCGGGCAGGCGGGAAGTGGCTGGAGGGCAGTGCTGGTGGCTCCTGTGTACGCAGCATCCTCAGTGTCTAGATCACCGCTCAGATGCTTGCTGTGGTATAGGTTCTAGGAAATGGTTGGCAGATGAATGGATGAGTGAATGACTAAGCCATCACAGTGCCAGGCGTGCGATACACGCCAACCGGCATTTACATGTTTTCCCATCTACAGGACCATCGGCTCCATGGAGCCAGGGACCAGACCTGCATGGTTGCTTCCTGTTAGGTCCCAAACTCCTGTCAGTCCCATCACACTGGACAGCTGATGAGACAGCCCACCACTCAGCACAGTCCTGTGAAGGAGAAGCCTGGTTTGTTTTGGTTTTTGTAATCAGTGAGTGAAGCCCAGCTAGAATTGGGGGTGTGCATTCTGGAATACTGAGGTGCTTTCCAGGGTTATAAACTTGAGGAACAAGGGTCCTCACATTCTGTGTCAATGCTTCCCTCGCTTGACTGGGTATCTCAGCCATGTGGAATCTTCCTGTAAATCCTCAGATCTAGCTCAATGGGCATAAGATAAGGTTTGAGAGTATGAATTTCCAGCGAGTACCTTGCTCCTAACAAGCTGGGCAATGCCTATCAAGTAATAAACCTAACTGCCTCTAACATCTCTGATCGCCACAATAAAGCGGTCCCGGCCTTCATCCTATCCATACCCACAGCAGCTTTCTCCTGCTGAACTTTAAGATGGTGTTTTCTAAAATCTGCAGGTGAATGCTTTTGCACAATGGCTCAACACCAAGGGTTCTTTCTGGTCAGCACCCTGCTTACAAGTATGGTATTAATGAGTCAGTATGGTATAATTGGTCAGTGTCGGGGTGGGAGCCTGAGACAACTGCCATGCTGAAGTACCAGACACCCAGGGCATGCAGGTTGAAAAGGGACAGAGAGGAAGACATGAAGGCAGCCTTGCCCCATGCAAGCTCAGGCAGACTACAGAACTCTGGCTGGCAGGGCTGTATGCGTTTGCGCGCAAACATTCGTGTGTGCGCATCAAGTTCTGCTTGCTTACTTAAAAGCATTCGAGATGGCTCAAAATAATCCTAGAAGGGCAAGGAAACTCACAAAGACAGACTTCTTAAAGACAACAGAAGCCTGGAAGATTGCAGTCATGACACTCTTTGAGAGTCTGATTAATGTCATGGATCCTTGCTGTAGGAAAATGAATACATCCATCCATGGGGCAGCTCACATAGTATTTCAGGCGGTGCAGAGACCCCCTGAAACCCACTCAGAAACATGAGTGCCCAACACAGAAGGAGAGCATACCATGCGAGGGTCCTGGCTGGACATGGCAGCTGTTTCTGGACCCTCAACTCCTAGTTAG